TTTGGTGTCACTTCAGAGAAATTTCTTGGTTTCATGGTTTAACACCTCAGAATAAAAGTTGATCCGAATAAAATTAAAGCAATAATAGAAATGCCTCAACCCAAAAGGGCCACCCAGCTAAGATCTTTTCAAGGTCGATTAGTGTATCTTAGGAGGTTTATATCAAACATTTTAGTTAGATGTCAACCATTTACAACATTCTGTAAGAAAGATGCTCCATTCATGTGGGATCAAAATTGCTAGAATGAATTTAATATTATAAAAAAGTGTTTCACAAATCCTCCAGTACTTGTAGCTCTTATACTAGGAAAATTGTTGATCCAATTTACTACAACCTTAAGTGAATCTCTTGGTGCCTTACTTTTTTTTTTGAAACAAGAAAGCAATAGAGCTTTAATAATGAAAACCAAAAAATGGCATTACATACTAATAGCAACCGACTCCTTCTCTAACAAGTTAATAAATGATGGAGGGATTTTGTTCATAGCTACATCATCCCAAAGAAAGGAACTAATACAGGCATAGTTAACACTGAGATCTGCTAACTTATTTCTCCCCCTATCAACACAATTAAAGAAAACAAAATGAAAATCTTTTATGAAAGAGAGATCTATCGATTCTTTACCGCCTTTCTACACCACTCCCTTGATGTATTGGATTACATTCTTGTTATCCCCCTCAATGATTAAACCTTTGTAGTCCAATATATAGTCTTTTATCACATGCTTTATTGAAAGGATGGCCTGAAGTTCCAAAGTTGCTGGATCCCAGTGAACCTCCCTTGATGATCTCAAAATAGTCCTCCAATCCCGGCCTTGTAGGAGTTATGTAGGACAGCATCTATGTTGACTTTGATCCAATCAAGTGGAGGATGGTGCCAAGTATTAAGCATCCTTGACGGTTGACTAGCATCGTCGATACCTGAGAATGAGCAGCTAGAAAATTTGAAGCCTGCAGTAGTACTTACCGCATTTGAAGCAATCATCATTTGACTAGATATTTTTTCTTTCATGTATAAACAGATTTCTTACCTTCCAAGAGAGGTAGGTTGTGTTACAGAATAAACTCACCATCCATAAGCTTTGAGAGTCAAGCCATCTATAGCAAGCTTCTAGAGAATAGAATCTAGGAATTATGAACCCCCATCTGTTTAAGATTTCCACCGCTTCAATTAAATTCCTGCATCCATAGACAATGTGATCAAGATCTTCTACCACCTCACACCCTCTAGGACATTTCTCTAATCCTTATGACCTTCTATAACACAGAAATTTTTTTATATGGATGGCATTATTGAGTAGCCTCCACTAGAATAAATCCACTCTAGGATTTTGTTTTTCCCTTCCAACCCATCTCCAAGGAACTTGCTCAGAATTGTCGGGTTCCACAACTTCAGATGCTAGAGCTTCTATTATCTTCCTAGAAAAATTATGAATAATCTCCATATGATCATCTCCTATAACGGCCTGCATTTGAATTGAAGTGATCAGATTCACTAACTCTTCCCCAATGAAATTTCTTAGCTCAATGATGTTCCAATCTCCATTGCTAATAAACTTGTCCACTGATAGATTGCTTCCTTCCAATGGATTGACAAAAGTAGGCCAATTTAGCAAACTTTTATCTAGTAACCAAATGTCTTTAAATGCTTTAATCGTTTTTCCATTACCAACTATCCATCTGACTATTGGCCTAAGAAATTCGCCTACACTACAAATTAACTTCCATAAAACCGAACCACCTTTTTTAGCTGAATCTTCATCTAGTATTGGGCCATATTTTGGGAAGAGAATCTTATGCATAAGAGACTCTCTTTCTTGATTATACGTCCAAGCTAACTTGGCCCTTAATGGCCCATCTTTCATTGAATAGGAATTGATAGCAAGACCACCCCATCTTTTTGGTTTGCACATTAAATCCTAATTAACATAGTGAAGACCTGCACTTCCATCACTTTTCTTCCAAATGAATTTCCTACACAGCTTATCAATCTCATACAGAACTTGCTTAGGAACCATGGAAAGGGTAAAATGAAAAGTTGGAAATGATAGTAAGACAAATTTAACCAAAGTAATATTTCCAGCTAAAGAAATTAGCTTTCCACCCCAAACACTTAACATACTCAAAGCTTTATCTAAAATAAATTGGAAATCTGCTCTTATCAACCTCCTCAAAGCCACCTTAGTCCCCAAATAAGAAAATTCTTGAACTTCCCTGAATTTCATGATTTTACAGATTTTTTTCCTCCTTTTCTTCACTGATTTTCCAAAAAGAATTCTAGATTTTTGCAAATTCATCTTTTATCCCATCCATCCACAAAACTCCATAAGAATTGCATTAACTTCTATATCCGATTTAATGTTTGCTTCAGAGAATATGATGATATCATCGGCATAGAGTAAATGAGAAACCTTAGGGCCATTTGGAGAAATACCAATTCCAATTGAACTTCCTTTTTGTAAGAAAGCATTAGAGAGAAGCTGAGCACACATTATAAACAAGAAAGGAGAAAGTGGGCACCCTTTATGAAATCCACAATTAGCTTCTATCCACTTAGAATAGATACCATTTACTAGCAGAGAAAACTTTGGACCAATAACACATTCAACAATTAAATTTGCATAATTTACTGGAAAATCAAAATCGTTCAACATTTTAATCAATGTAGGCCATCCCATGGAGTCCTAAGCTTGCTCCATATCTATCTTGAAGGAGACCAGCCCCTTGGATGATTTGGAATGCCTAAACTTGTGAAAAACTTCTTGAACTACTAAAACATGATCCGAGAGTGACCTTCCTCTCATAAAAGCCACTTGTTCCTCCGAAATTCGCTTAGGGATAACAAGCAATAGTCTATTAAGAATCATTTTTGCCATAATCTTATAGACATAGTTGCATAAACTTATGGGTCTATAGTTGGAAGGAGATAATGGATTTTTGACTTTGGGAATCAAAACTATATTAGTATTCTTCAAACTATCATTCATCTTTCCATTCATGAAAAAATGATCCATAGCTTCATTAAATCATGCTTGATGATATGCCAACAGTATTTAAAAAAAGGTATAAGACATACCATCTTGACTCGGGGCAATGTTCCCACCAAGATCCTTAATGACCTTCTCTAATTCTTCAAAATAAAATTCTTTGCTCAGCAACATTTTGTCCTCTTCTCTCAAAGCTTTCAACGGTAATGGCCAACCCTCCAAAGCACAATTTCTATCTTCCCATTTATTGTTGTAGTACCGAAATAGCACATCTTCAACTTCTTTTTGGTCTTCTACCATCAAGCCTTATTCATTTTATATTTTGTGGATGTAGTTTTCATTCCTCCTAGCACTAGCATATGCATGGAAGAATCTTGAGTTTGAATCCCCCTCCACCAGCCACTTGACCTTGGCTCGTTGTTTCCACCAAGTGATAACCCAAGCCAATACTGAGTTCAGCTCTTCAGTTTTTGCTTTCAGAACCCATTGATCCTCCTCTGAAAGGTTCCCGTCCTCAGCTTCCTTCTCCTGCAATCTCAGAATTTTCTACTTTCAACTCCTCTTTGGAAAGATTTAATTCTTTGAACTTAGCCTTGCTCCAAAGATTTAATGCTTTGAACTTAGACTTGCTCCAATAATATAGATCCTTTATGGTCCTCTTCAACTTCTGGTTAAGAGCTTGAGAAGGATCTCCTTGGGCCTTCCACTTCCATGACTCTCTTACGATTTCCATAGAAGCCAGAATCAAAGTCCAAACTTCTTCAAATCTGATTACCTTCTTATTTGGAGGGCAGAATTCCAACAATTTAATAAGATAGGACAGTGGTCTGAAGCAATCCTCGCCAAATGCCTCACCATTAACCTATGAGAAGAGTTTAGGTCAGTTGAGTTAATAAGACACCTATCCAGTTGTTCAAGAATTCTTTCAGCCCCTTTCTTGTTCTCACACCATGTATATTTTGGACCAACACTTGCCACCTCTTGCAAATGATTGCAAGAGATGAAAGTCTTCATCTCCTTTGGACCTAGGACAAAACAAATTTTCTCCCCCCTTTTTTTTCCTCCTTAAACAACAAATAGTTGAAGTCCCCTCCTATAATCATAGGGAAGTCTTTAATCATGTGATGCTCCAATCTCTCCCATAAAGATCTTCTCCTATAAACATCCTTGCTCCCATAAATCATTTCAAATCTCCATGTGGCTTTGTTGATCACATTTAGACCACCTACAACAAGTTAGGATGAAGCTTCCAACATGTTGAATGCAGCCATGCTTTGTTTCCATAACACCCAAATCCCCCCTGATAACCCTTCAGAGGGAACATGAAAAAATTCCAACCTTCACCAATCAACGAGTTAACTAACTTCTTGTCTACCACAGACAACATAGTTTCAACCAAGCCAAGAAAAAACAACCCATAATCCCTTATGAACTCCCTCACATATAGAGAAGCTTTACTTTTTTTGGTACCTCTACAGTTCCAAAAGCCAATGGAAGACATTAATGGTCTAAGGGGAAAAGGTTCCCCACCCTTCCCTTCACCTCACCTTCCAATTTTTTTTTTCTTGGAATCAACTTGATGGGACCTAAGCCCTTCAATTTCTTAGATCCTTTTTTCCTCACCTTGTTAGACGCTTCCTCAAACTGATTGAACCGGGCTTCCTTAGGTTCATTCTCTAACGACTCTAGCATTTTCTCTGCATTCTAAGATATAACCTAAATCTTTAGTAGATTCTAGTGCTTCATCTACATTACAAATTATTTCCCCTTCCTCCCCTATGTTATTTAAAACTTCATACTGATTGAGATTGTTTAGGCTATCATCAAAATCAATTCCAATGACCTTATTAACTTCTGAGTTAATTGTTGGGATATCTTCACCATTAGCAGAAGGAATCGGTGTTACCTCCACATGCTTCTCTCCACCCCGAGAATCAGCATTCTTTAGACTTATTTTGTTCATACCAGAAATTTCTCCTTCCTTCTCAGCTTGGCTTCTAACACCATCATTGATTAAAACCCTCTCAGTAACCTGTTGTCGAGTCCACTTGTTCTGAAACTTGAAGTTTTTTCCTCTCTTGTTCCCATGTCCACATGAATCCATGGACCACAATTATCCTCTTTGGCCTTGGTTGTATCTTTCTCCAAAGAATTATCCTTTGGAATCTCCTTCATAACTGCTGCTCCACCTTCCACAGAATTTACTTTGGGTTTATTAGGAACCAAGATTGATTCCATATACAACTCTGGACAGAATTTCTCCAAATGCTCGATGTTACCACATTTAAAGCAAATGTTTGGCATTTTTTCATAACTGATTTTTTGGTAAAACTTGCTAGAGACACCTTCTGCCCAAAATCCCAATGGTAGCTTGTCTTCCAAATTGATTCTGACACATACTCTAGCAAATTCATGCAGTCCCCACTGAAACATGTTGTCATCTATCAAAAAAAGAGTACCAACCTTCAAAGCAATCCTATATACATTGATTTTATCCCAGCTTTGCAGAGGGAGATTAGGAAGCCTAATCCAGACCAGAGCCATCAATCCTTTCAAGGAAGAAGGATGAAAATTAGGGGACCATTTATCTAGTCCATTTATACTACCATTCACGTACCATGGTCCACTATTTAGGATTGAATCCATAGCCTCTAGATCTTCAAAAGCACATAAGATCCAACCACCACCAAAAAAGGTCATATGGAACCTACCATTTTGATTCCATTTTTTCCTTAATTCCAATCCAATGATATGGTAAGGAGCACTATCACCAAACACCTTAACCACCAAAGACTTTTGTAACTTGTTTGTGTTTTCAACCTCACTTTGCAAATGAAGTTTCACCACTCCATTTTTAGAAAAATTCTCCCCATAGTCAAAATCAATAGATTTAAAGTTTGGCTTCATGTTCCAGGCACTAACCATTGGCTTGGTCAAGGTGGAATAACATAATCCATTTCTTCCACAGTTTTGCAATTTCTCGAAACTGCAGACTCACAAACTCGAGCATTCTCCCAGTCCTCCTTGGCTTGTTGTACTCCATGACCAACAGTTCAATATATATACAAAATAGAATCTGGAAAAACAACTCCAGCTGATGAGTTCTCCTTCATTTCCTCAGAAATATGACAACCAGATGAGGAACCCTTTAAAGATTCCAACCTTTTTTTAGTAATCACATCACCGAAAGATTCATGAACAACCTTATCAACCATTTGACAGTAGTCCTTACTTTGAATGTTAGGTACATCCAACATTATTTTCTTTCCTTTGACAATACAATCACTTTGCTTTTTTGGAGAAGAAAACCTCCCTCGTTAATCACCAGAGGTTTAACAGGTTTAAACCTTAGATTGGATTCTTGATCAAACACCATATTGACATCACCAAAAGCTGGGGGAGATAAACTTTGATTAACATGAGGAAGAATTCTAACCATAGGAGTCGAAGAGATGTGACTATCTTTGATGCTATAGGATGGAGGCTGCCGGCCCTCCACTGTCATCGGAGGAGACAACAAATTACGGGAAGTCAGGAATTCAAAAACTTATTATTTTCTCTCACTAGAATTGGGAGCTTCTTTCCCTAGAATCGGGATCTTCCCTCACTAGAACTGTTGTGTCTCCATTAGGAAGGCATCCAATTATCCTCTGATCAGGAAACATTATTTGGCCTATATATATTCCACTCAAAATTAAGGCACTACATGCTCTCTCATAAAGTAAATATAATATCATGAATAAACCTGTTACAGTATTTGAAGATTCAATCAACATTATTAAGAAGATTAGCCTATTTGTCAATGATACTATCATAATTTGATCTAACATTCACTCCTATGTGAGAATTAAAAGGATATGTGGTGCTAGATTTCTTAGAAGCTCATCCAGTGAAATATGATAGAAGATAAATGATGAACTACCAAATAAATAAATCATGAAACTTTACTCAAATGAGAAGTTCACCTGGGAATTCTATTTTGAGGGTGCTGCTTCTAGTTATCAAGGAATATCAATTGATATATCCATAAGATAGGCCAGGATTGTTATAGTATTTGTTATACCTGATAAAGGTGTGATGTATTACTAATACCAAATATCAAAACCCTTTGCAAATAATGAATCTGAGTAGGAGGTGTTGATAATTAGCTTAGAATTGATAATCCTAAGTGGGATAAAAGAGATCAAAATCTTGGAGATTCGTAGCTTATCATAAATTAAGTAGTTTGGATTTACAAAATGTTAAAAGAAAATTTTTTCCATATCATCAGTTTACAATGCATCTATTAGAATGGATTCCAAATGTGATGTTATATAGAATCCCAAAAAACATAATTGTATTACAGATGCTCTTACTAAGTTAGCTTAGGTACTATATGTTTTGAGTAAGACTCAATTTTAATAGAAGTGCACATCCGACAAGTTGTCTTACATAGATTTTGAATATATAAATAAGTTGAGGTGAAATTTATTACAAAGTAGATAATTGATCGATAGATTGGAGAAAACTGTTCATCGAATACTTGCAAGAAAATAAGCTCCCTTAGGGGAAATCAGTTGCAAATCAGATCAAGAGATGATCATTATCCTATGCTTTGATTAATAATGTCTTATACAAAAGATCATTCTATTAATGTGGTTGCAATGTTTAAATAAATTAGAGGCATGGAAGATTGTAGAAGAACTACATACTGGATTATGTGGTACACTTCAATCCAAGCCAAATATGAAAATAAAAATCAAATGAATGGGATACTTTTGGCCATCGATGATAGATGAACGCATAAATGTTGCACATCATTATCATGAATGTCAGGTGCATGGTGTAGCTGTACATCAGCCACCAAATTTCCAATATCAAACCATTTCCTCGTGGCCTTCTAAAATGTAGGGTACATATATCCTTGTTCTGATAGATCTTCCATCCTCTAGAGGTCATAAATTTATACTAGCATCTACAGACTACTCCTCAAAGTTGGTAGAAGTAGTTCCTATGAGAGAATTCAAAGCTCGTCATATTTTAGAGTTTTTTAAAGAGAATTTCATGCATCAATTTGGTATTCCTCACCAGATTATCTTATATAATGGTCATTTATTTAAAAGTACTAAAATAAATAGTTTTTCTAAACATCATAACATTGATTAGAGATACTCATACCATCTATTACCTCGGGGTAATTGGATTGGTAGAAGCCTTCAATAAAACCTTGGTTCATATCTTAAAGAATAACTTAGATGAAAACAAGTGTCAATAGCATGAATGGTTAGTTGAAGCTTTATAGGCATACTAAACCAAATATAGAACTCCAACTCAATCTACGCCATATACTTTAGCCTTTTGTATAGAAGCTGTTATCCCTTTGCAAGTATAACTACCTTCACTAAGAGTTGCAGTAAACTCTAATATTACCTCAGAGTAGAATGTAAAACTCTATTTAGATGTGCTTGAAAGTTTAGAAGATAAGCATCTGTAGGCTCAACAAAATATGGAGTTATATAAAGCTAAAATGATCCAGGCTCATGATAAATTGGTTCATTCATGAACTTTCCAAGTTGGTGAATTTGTGAAGTTTGAATTTCACCCTTTTGATAATTGATCTAGTGGTAGGGTTCCAAATCCACTAATTCAAGAATTGATCTCCCATCAAAGTAATCAATTTGTTTGGAAATCAATTCTCCAATCAAATTATAATCTTTACTTTTTTATAATTAAATAATCGGTCAGGTTCTAAATATAATCATTTGGGAATCAATCTCCCATCTGAGTATCCAACTTTATTTGAGAATTAATCTCCAATTTACGATTTCAATTTCCCTCCCCGAGAATTGATCTCTCAGTTAGGTCTTACATGTACTCGATTAAAAAAAAATCAAGTAAGTTTTTAGCTTTTAAACTTCATTCATTACTTCAATTAATTCCAATATGTGTGGTTTATTCTTCAAATTCATCACACCTATTGGGGATCCATTTATTGACCTCATTTTAGTAAAAGGACATCATAACCTTTAGAACTCTTGATTAAGTATATAGTAATTAATAGCTACATAGTTATCAATAACTTATTATTAAATCAATCACTTCAATTAGTATGCATACCGTCAATCAAATCTCAACTTGCACTTATGTTATGAAATAGGATCCAAGTACTATAATTTTGATGATAATAAGCATTATTGTTTCTTTACTACTCCTAGTATTGCATATCTTTTTTTTTTTTTTGCACTGCTTACAAACCTTTCAAGTCTATAAGTTCAATTGTAATACAAATGAGCTCAATATCGGGTAGACTAGGGTTGCGTTTATCTGTAATTTTAATTTTAATGTACTTTCTTATTTTTCTTAATTTAAGTCTTATATATGGTGGACTCCAAGCTAAGTAACCTTACACACATACTCAAGGGGGTGAGTTAGTGAATTAGGAGAAAATTGGATTTTTAAACTAACAGTACATTATAATGTAAATCATATTGGATAATCAGCTATACTAAAATAACTAATTAGGGCACTCTTTGTAAAAGTAAGAATGCTTAACTGATAGTCCCAAATGATTTGCAGGATGATATTTAAATCACCACCCATCATCCAATAACGTACTAGATGATCATTATAATATCTTGAACTAATCATCTCAGATAATTATAGAATCATACTGGATAATATGTATAAATATGTGAACTAATCGTATAAGGCAATATTGATCATACTGGATAAAACGACTATTTTGTACTAATCATACATGAGGATATAAGGATTGTACTGGACGATCAGAAACACAAAATTAAAAGTTAATGCTTCTTTTGGAGGCTCTCTATTTAAGCTCTCATATTATCCTTGATATTAATCTTTTTTCGGTAGAAGTGATCTGAGAGAGAGCTTAGAGAAGGAAGAGCTTGATATTAACCTTCTGCGGTAGAAGTGATCTAAGAGAGAGCTTAGAGAAGGAAGAGAGAGGTACTATGAGAGAGAGGGAAATCCTTGTGAGGGATTCACAAAGGTTTCTTTAAGTAAGATTTCCATCATCTTCTTTAAGCTACTTTTATGGTTCCTTGGTGGCTCTGGGGAGATCTTCAACAGCATCAGATCTAGGTTATCTGCCCATTTCAGGTTGGAGCAAAAGGATACCAAGGTTCTCTGCCTACTCCTGGTGGGAGTAAAAGGATTTCAAGGGTCTCTACGTACTCCAAGAGGGAGTAAAAGGATTTTTAAGGTTCTCTGCCTACTCCAAGAGGAAGTAAAAGGATTCAAGGTACTCTACATCATTAGGTCACTAGAAAGATTTTGTAATGGCTTATTTTCCTTTCTATGGGGGTAAAAGGAGATATACTACTTTTAGTGCAATACCTGAAAAGGAGATTTTTGGGGAGTGGGTGTGTAAGTCAAATTGACTGAATCACTATAAATTTGGTGATTTCTTTCTATTTACTTTTTTGCATTTAGATTCCATATTATTTTGTTACTTATTTTGTGCTTGAAATCTTTAATTTTTATTATTGTGAAATTAGTTTTGTTTCTGCATAATCTTTTTTTTTTTTAATTAAAAAAGATCTCCTATTTTGTTAAGATTTTTTTTTTAAATAACCAATTCACTCCCCTTTTAGTTAGCCTCAGGCTAGTTCATAAAGGTTTAACAACCCTCATAATCTTTTAAGTGGTATCAGAGTAGGATTCATAAATTAAATTTTAGAAAACTTTTGAAAAGATCTATGGCAAACTTTGGTAATCATAATACTGAGAAAGTATACTTAATCACTAGACCATCTCTAATTTAAAATATTCTTTTTAATTTTTTGGAAAACTTATAAGTCCACCTTTTCATAATTAATTGGTTATTCCATGTGGATGCTAGTTCAGGATGGTTACTCTGCACCTTCATGATTAGTGAATTCCAATAAAATAGAAATGCCTTTATCTAAATGGACTACAAA